GTTTGTCTCCTTTTTTCTTTTTTTTCTACCTATTAAGGGAGCCACTAACTTTTTAAAAAAAAAAGCTTTGTGTTCTTTAAGGCTTCCCCTGATATAAAAAACTATTAACTTTCAGTCAACCAAGCCCAGCATTACGTCTTCTAAACACATACTGGAGAAAAAATGTGAACTTTATGATAAACATTAGCCAGTCAGACTGTGAATGTTCCAGCAGTCGACATAGTTTAAATGCCCAAAATGCTACTTAGCTGTCTGCAGTAGTGTGGTTATATTTTTGTGCAAAAGTTCGGATTGTTTTCAAGGGTGCTCTGAGCCATTATTTTTAATTAAAGCCGTGTGAACACACACACACACACACACACACACACACACACACACACACACACACACACACACACACACACACACACACACACACACACACTTCAGAATACGCACACACACAATAATACTGGTACTAATTTCTTCCTTTTGAATGTTATCATTATCCTTCTGTGTGTCTGAATGACTGATTATGGTTATTTTGTGGCATATCATGTTCACGAATACAGAACATGGCGAGACTCCATAAAAATAAACATACAATCATGCAAGTAAATGACAACAGGGGAATCGCAAAAGCACACACACGACAGAGACACACACACATACACACACACCCACGCACTCTCCCATGCCAAACACAGCTGTGAGCTCTCTCGTTTTGGCAATAACCTCTCTCCTCTCTTTTAAAGACCATTAGTGATCCGTGACCACGGTCCCCCTTCCCAAACACACAGCCACACTAGCTTGATGCTGTTAACATAATAACTTATGAGCCATCCTTTCATCATTTGAGGATTTCCCCAGTTCCCTTGTGTTATCTCTGCACAGCTAGATGCTCAGTAATTGCAATCAGATGCAACATAGCATTGTATGTGATTTTTTAGCTTACTCAGTGAGGTTAGATCTTACTCTACTTCTTCTTAGAGAACAGGAGCTCATTGAGCTGTTATCCAGCATGTCATGTGCCTGCTCTAAGCTGTTGACCTCAAACTACCTTTGAGTAGGGTGGGCTATTTATGGTCCTGGGCTCCCTCAAACCCATCAGGGGAGATCACATCATGCTGCGTGAAAAGAAAGCGTGTAATTAATACATGATGATCTGTGAGTGATGCAAAGGAGTCTGCTTTCTGTGTTTCTGCCAGATGTTTCAGAAGCTAAAAGGTGACAGAAAGAATTTCTCTGTCTCCAATTTTGGATGATGAATTGAGCTGCCAGCCTGGTGCATGCAAACACGCGTACACGACCCTGTCATCTACACTAATTTTGTTTGACTTTTGCTGACTTGAATTGGGGGGTGCTTTTCAACCCAAAGTAGCAGTCATAAGTGACTTTTCAGGAGAGCTAATGCTGTATGAATCCCAATATGTGGTCAACAAACAGTTTTTTTGTGATTCCAGGGAGGAAAAAAGCAAACTAATATAAACTGTTCTCATTCACAAAAATCTGTTATATGTGGGTTTGGCTGTGTGTCTAGGACCCCTTGGCAAAAGGGTGATACACACTGATCTGGTCGGCAGTCTGTTAATGTGAAATTTTCCAAACTCTTTCTGCCAAAACCCAAATACGAAATCTTTAGATCAAAGAGTGAGTATCCGCATTTGGCAAGGGTTGTCTCTGTTTGTGGAAAGATCACACACACAATGGAAAGAGTAATTATAGTTTCAATTGTGTAGCACAACATGTTAGAACATGACAGGTTAGAAAAAAATTTGGTGCCTGACTGTGGCTGCTAGCAGAGCAGAGTACACTTAATGTTGGATGTTTAATTACAGTCAAGCAAACTACAAATAACAGTTATTTAGATTGTTTACTAAAATCATTCATTTTAATGGTCTTGATTTCAGCTTCGAGACCAGCTTTCAGTCATTTACTATACAAGAAACCATGCTCCATATGCTCAGCTTAGAGACCTATGATCAAAGATAATCATCATCATCATTGTCATCTCCTTCTTCTTTTAGCTGCTCTCTTTAGGTACAGGTATAAACATACCTGTACAGATATAGGTATTTAAACTCATCCGCTTGCACTACTTCTACTCCTTCCAACTTCACCTTTCCACCTGTCCTCTTCTCATTCATATACATGTGTTGCTGCTTCTAATGATTTTCATTAGTCTTCTCTCCACTGTATACCTCCACCTGCTCCATGCTCTCACTACAGATCACTATGTCATCTGCAAACATCATAGCTGAGAGACTCCTGCCAGACCTCATCTCTCAACCAGCACATCGCCACTGCTAAGGTTGAAGACAACCACAAATGTTGATATTAGCAATGAATAACTATAGCATTATTTTAGCATAATTTTTAGAGTGACTATATTTAAATGAGACGGTGGAGTGATTAGTTATCAAATTAGCATAGATAATCTGATTAAAAATGCTCCAAAGGATATCACGGCACAAACATGGTCAAGAGTTCAGTAACTTGGTTTAATTTGCGTTTTTGCCCTCTAGTGGCCAAAAATCTCTCAAAGTTACTTTAAACTTATTTATAGCTATGAGTATATTATTGCCACCCAACAGTTAAAATTTTAATTCTGTTAGATTGCCAGGTTGTGTGTTCTTGTTGTCCAACTCTTAGTTTATTAGGCATCGCAAACTCTTTTTAGAGAGTAAACTGCCAGCAGCTGTTTCAAACAGGCTTGACTGGCCTCATGAACCAGTGCAACTCTAGCCTGTGAAACTGTGATGAACTAAGTAGGCTATATGTTTGCAAATGTGCCAATAAAGTTTTTTTTAAATTATATTATGATACAGCAACTAAAAAAATAACTCTGCAGATTAGAAGTAGCAATGAAAATTCCAACAATATACTGCATGTTAATGGATCTGTTAGTTACATGTTAGTTACACCTGGTTTGTGGTTTGAGAGTAGCCTGACATGCCTGAACCTTCCTCATCCTCTCTGCCAAAAAGGAAATGCATGCCTAGTTCAGGATGATTGGAGTCAAATGTTACATCACCAGTCAGGGAGCTGTATGGTAAGATCATTGAAAAAGCAGTTTCTCAACAGCTCAGTTACTTCTTAAAACAGAATAACTGCTGCCTTCCAGTCAGGTTTTAGACAGAACCACAGCACTGAAACCGCTCTGACCAAAGTGTTTAATGACATATGTCTGAATACAGACAGTGGAAAAATGTCAGTCTTAGTTTTGCTGGATCTCAGTGCAGCATTTGATACAGTTGACCACAACATATTACTCAAACGACTGGAGAACTGGGAAGGTCTTTCAGGAACTGTACTAAACTGGTTCAAAACATACGTAGAAAACAGGAAATACTTTGTATCAATAGGTAACTTCACATCTGAGCAGACAAGTATCACATGTGGAGTTCCCCAAGGTTCCATCTTGGGACCCCTTCTGTTTAACATTTACATGCTCCCACTGGCACAGATTATAAAGAACAACAAAATAAACTATCATAGCTATGCAGATGACACACAAATATATATCACAATGTCACCAGGAGACCGAGGCCCTGTACAGGCTCTTGGTAAATGCATTGAGGAAATTAATGACTGGTTGTGCCACAATTTTCTCCAGCTAAACAAAAACAAAACTGAAGTAATAGTCTTTGGTCCCAAAGAAAAACGATTACAGGTCACCAGAGAACTTCAATCTATACACCTAAAAACCACAAACCAGGTGAGAAATTTGGGTGTAGTGATGGATGCAGACCTAAACTTAGAAAAACACATTAAGACAATAACAAAGTCAGCTTACTATCACCTCAAGAATATATCAAGGATAAAAGTTCTGATGTATCAACAGGACCTGGAAAAACTAGTCCATGCATTCATCTTTAGTAGGCTTGATTACTGTAACAGCATCTTTACAGGTCTACCTAAAAAATCAGTCAGACAGCTACAGCTCATTCAGAACTCTGCTGCTCGAGTCCTCACTAAGACCAAAAAAGTGGACCACATCAGTCCAGCTCTGAGGTCTTTACACTGGCTGCCTGTCCGTCAGAGGATAGACTTTAAAGTTCTGATGCTGGTCTATAAAGCTCTGAATGGTTTAGGACCAAAATACATTAGTGACTTCCTGACCCAGTACGAACCTTCCAGATCCCTCAGGTCATCTGGATCCGGTTTTTTATCAGTTCCCAGAGTCAGAACCAGACACGGAGAAGCTGCATTCAGCTTTTATGCTCCATATATCTGGAACAAACTCCCAGAAAGCCTCAGATCAGCTGAAACACTCAGTTTATTTAAATCCAGGTTGAAGACTCCCCTATTCTCAGCTGCATTTGAATAAAGCACCAAATCCACACTTTTAAGCTTAAATTTCAAAACTTATATTTTAACTACTGATTTTATCTAGCGTTCTGATTTTATCTAGTTTTTTTTAAAATCAATTTTAAATCATGCTTTTTATTGTTTTTGTTTTTTAATGTCTCTGTAAAGCACTTTGAATCACCTTGTTGTTGAACTGTGCTATATAAATAAACTTGCCTTGCCTTGCCTTGCCTATGGTTGGGCATGTCTCTGCAACATGCTGCACTTCATGGGAAACCAATTTTCTTTTTTTTAATTAGGCTATTTCCATTGTAAATATTTCCATTGTAATATATTTTGTTAATTTTGTTTCCAATGAACTGCAACAAGTTGCAGAGAAAGAGTGATGTAACATCTGACTGCAATCATCCTGAACTACGCATAAATTTCCTTTTGACAGAGATGTAAGGAACAACAATGGTTAAAAAAAGAAACAAAACAAAAAGGGAGTTTTTCTAAATTGCAGTAAATTATACAAAAAGCATATCAGGACAGTCAGAAAGACAAACAGTCGCTCAGAGATAGACCAGTTTAGTCCGATAATGGGTGCAGTGACGTTAGAAGGCAGAGCGGTAGTGTTTTCTGTGCGCTGGCCCTTTAAAACGCGCCGTGTTTTCATTGGTAAGGTGACGTCAGAGCACTGAAGGACTCCAGCCTATCCTCTCTAAACAGTGAAGGCAATGGTCCTGGCAAAGCGTCCTGCCTTAGGAGGGAGACTTTTACACTGCACAAAAGCCAGGGAAACACTCGTCGCTGGAATGAACCAGAGCCCTCCTGCACTCGCCGTGGATTAAAACCGAAACTTTTACGATGGCTCTGAACGTGAAAAAGTAGCGCGAGAAACAGCACGCTAAACCGCCACCGCCGCCACCACCACCAACGGACCTTCTACTGCAAAGCAACTCCTAGTAGATGTACGGCCACTGCTGAAAAATATGCTCCAGCCAAGCAACCTCAACCCGGGCTCCAGTCGCAAATTCGCAGTGTTTTAACCAGTTTCGTGAGACATTCACGGGCCTCTTCTTCACGTTGTTGTTGTTTTTTAAAGGTTCTTACCTTTAAAGTCCGCTATACAAGTCCACAACCCACCTGAGAGAGAGAGAGAGAAATAAGAGAGAGAGAATTATGGCAGGGAAGCTGACAGCAGCGCAAGGCACAGGAATACTGCTGGTGACAGCCAACGTTGGATCCCTGTTCGAGGATGTGAGTTTCCCCATTGATAAACACAGTCTGTCAATGCTGTCTCTTCACGCCAATGCTTAGTTCTAGCTTCGTTATTTCTCCCGCCACACGGTCAACTCCGTGTCTTTTATCATGCTAAATAATATCAAAGCTGGTCACGACTCGTGTATGTGTCAAGTCGCGTGCGGTAGCTTAAACAGCTACTGTACCGTTATACCGGGGGCCCTCTGACAACCTTAAAAACACACCGTACACCCGTCTGTCTTTACGGGTTACGTGTTCAACATATGCAGTGACCCACTTTTTCTCTCATGTTTCTTGGGTTGGTTTCTTGCCTGCTGTGTATGCACGGCGGCGGGAAGATAACCCGTAGCTTGTTATTACTGTAGTATTGCCACTGACTGTAACTTGAGCTAATCAGGGATGCAGTAGCTGTTTACTATTTGAAGACTCACCCTCTAGGCTGATGTGAAGCAGTCTGTGTGCATCACAGTCAGTAAAAACCAAACATGCATCCTGTCTGTATCAGAACTGTATTTTTTATTATTATTTTTTAGTTGATGTGATACAGAGTGTATAAAATAGTCGTTATTCAGCTTTTAAAAAAACAAGTGCAGCAGCAACTGATGTTTTGCTCCTTTTCTCCATTCATGTCAAATGTGTCCTGCAGCCAGTGTTATGAATAACAGAGATGTTAGGAGAGCAGGCAGCATTCAGATATCCACTCTTGACAGTGCCACATGCACATGTCAAGACAGCAGAGACGTCTTATGTCTAAAATAGGTGTGTCAGGCCTTATTAGGCGTGCCAGTTGAAGTTGTTGAATGACATCTGTTTTGTCATTATTATGTAATTATCTTTCACTTGGTCTACGAAAGTAGTCTGGTACCTACTGGCACCAAGTTGAGGGGCAAACACTTTTCTGTCACTTTCAGTGTTGTGTCAGCACTGAGTACCCCCTCTTCTTCTTCTCTCACTCTTGTGAAGTGCCGATCCACAACATAAGGAAAGAGTTATCTCTCTGACTGGAGTAAGCCTATAAATAGCCTGCCACCACTCACAAGCACCAAGCTTTGGGTGTCCTGTGCTATTTTTCTGGCTTTTTTTCCTTACTAAACTCTGAATTGAAATGTAATATCCATGTTTCCTGCTTTGAGTGGGTGTGCAGGTCATGCATAAGGCAATCTAGTCTCTGATGTGTTTGCATCCTTATGATGAATATGTGGGCTGAATGAAGTCTTTGTTAACTGCTTTTAATACCGTTTCCACTTTTAGTCTGTTTTAAATTGCGCGCTAGGAAATGCAGCCTGACACTAATTCGCCAAGATGCAATATAAACTGTGTTAGGCCTTCAGAATATGCATGTATAGTACGATATCATCTAACTGAGTCTTGTCTTGAAATGGCAGATATTCTTTTTCGACCTTGCACTGCTACTGTAATGTTGCAAACATTACAAATATAAACCCATCACTAACAGATGTAACATGCAGTTGTGGTGTGATTTTAGCACGTAGAGCTAATCTGCAAGTATTGGTTGATACGCTGATTGTTTTTCTTTTCTTTTGGTAGACTAAAATTATAGGTGAAAGGCTTAAAAATAAGAACTAGATGACCGTGGATAGTTGACAAGATTTGCTCAGTAAGGTGAGCTGATGGCAGCTGTTAGATCACGTCCTATTACGCCTGTGGGGAACCATATGGAAGGAAGCCTATGTCGCATTATTTTATTAGTCTTTCTGTCTAGTGCACAGTGGAGATGATCAAGGCAAAAACCCATATATGTGTAGTTACTATTATCATCATTATCGTTATTATTACTGTTATATTGTTATTATTGCCGTTAAGACAAATGTGCACCCTAGAAACCTCAATGTTTTATGTTCTTGTACATAAAGACAAACACACCTAAAAATTTATATTCTGTCATCGATTCAGATCAGTTTGTTCCTATGGCCCAATCACATGTGATGGTTCAAAAGGGCTTGACGGGCACATATATATAGACATACACATATTTTTAAAAAAAGGAGGGAAATCATGTCCTGAACTAGAAAAATGGTTTCTGACACTTACAGGCAGTTCGCGCGAGAAAAAAGTGGGGCTAAATAATAGAAACACAAAAAACAGTATAAAGCAGTACCTGCTATAAGCCTAATTTTTATTGTAAACAAACCGGTGTTGCTGTAATGCTGCTAACATTATGTTATATGGTCATCAGTCATTTTCAGACATCAACTTTTGGCCAGTGCAGTCTTTCTCACATGCATCACAGAAGGAAACGGTCCACTTCAGCCATGCTCGCAGTACTGGAAATGCTCTGTGCGGTTTAGGCGAGGAAGTTGCCCGAGTAGGGGTGCAGGATGCAGTGCTATAGCCCGCTCGCTAGCGGTGAATGCTGTACTATTTGCTGTACCTGTATTATTCGCATATTGGTACAATGTGACTTCACATTTTTTACTTGGGGAGCCGGCAGGCTGAATATCTACTATGATCCACTCCGACTGCAGGTAATATTTCAGTCCTTGTGTGCACCTCTGTGCTGTCTGCAGTGCATGTGTGAAAACAGCTCGAAACACCTGCCTACAGCCGCAGTCCCATTGCCAAGACTTCAAATGAATTTGAATCATTTTGATCTTGACATTTTACATCGAACAGGAACTTAAAAGTGTTTGGCTTTTTTTCAAAGCATCTAACAGTATTCATTTGGGTCTCGCAGTTTAAACCCATTCTCGTGGTCCATGCGATTAAAACCAGTGTTTTCTTGGTCAGCCTCGGTGTGTAATTAAGCTGATGCGATAACTGTAGTTATCAGTTATTGTTTGATAAGCATTACAGAATCGTCCTCGAGCTCAAGCCATTCGCTGTCGGCCTTGTGAACCATGCTCAGTGAATCCAATTATGGGAGCAAACACTGGTTTGTCCTGTGTTTAAAACGACCATCAAGGTTTACCCTTCATCTGTCTTTTGTTTTCTCACACGCTCGCTTTTGTGGCTCTAAGGAAGCATCCCTCCCCCCGTGGTCTGTTTGCCCTTTGACTTTTGTTGTGAATTGACCCCAGCACCACATACAACAGGACTCTGAAGTCTTTCTTCTTATTATTTATGTCCATTCAGTCCCGTGCTGATCCCTGTCCCGTGTCTGTTTCAGTCAGGTATTTTTTTCATTAGCATCGTAAAGCAGTAAAGTAAAGAGCCGTATTGAGGTTTCTGCCACTGCAGCTCAAATGCTGGCTTCCTGTGTAACAAATTTTCTTAATTTATCTCAACCATATATTGATACATGTTGAACTTGAGCATATTAAACTACTACCAGAAAAGGAAGCTATCATTACCGTATACGGGACCTGTTCTCTCCGGGCTAGGTTTTTATAAACTCTTCCCTTCCTGAAGCCACAGTGTGAAAACACAGTAGGTGTCCCATGGGTCCTGCTGGATTCCTGAGCCACCCTGTTTTGCATAATTAAGCACAGATGGAGATTAATGATCCCACTGAAGTGTAAGCTTGGTGAAGACAGGATAAAGGGGGAAAATAAATGAACTAATTGGTAATTGGTTTTCTAATTCAGGTGGAACAAGTCAAACTGTAGAAGATGCTGTAGCTGCACTAGTTTGGACCAATTCACACTTTATGCTTTTCTCTTTGCACCTTAGAAATAGGTGCCATTGTGTCTGAAAGGGTTGATGATTGGTTAGAATTAGTTAAGTGCCGGAGCTGAGCTCAATTATCATTGGGTAATCATGTTCAGAAAACCCTGGAGTGTTTAGTCTCTGTCTGTTAAAGGGGGACACTGTGCTGGCCAGACTTTGTTGCCATCAAATTATCCCGCTGTGACCTAGAGCTGGGCGATAGAACGATAACGATATGTATCGCGATATAACTTTTACTCGATAGAGAAATTAAGCTATCGCAATAGACCTCGCCGCTCTTGTCCTCTTAAAATAAAAAATAAAAAAAATGTAAAAAGGTCAGCCAATCCAAACTAAGTAGCGCAGAGCCGAACCAATCACAGCCGCAGCGTCACGTCGCGTGACTTGTTACGTACAGCACAAGTGCCAAGCCGCACGTGTGTTTGTTTGGGAAGCAGCCAGCCACCGTACCGCCCGGGTAATGGAGGAAATGAGTGTGCCGACTAGAAAAATCAACCGAGCGTGACCGAAGAGAAAACAGATGATGGTTCCAATGCCGGAGAGATTGTTGAACGGAAGAGCCATAGAAGTTCCGTAGTGTGAAGGTATTTCGGCTATTTCAAGTCTGACAAAAACAGAGTAGCGTGCACTGTAAATGTGCCGAAAGCAAGTCTGGAAATACAATAAACTGGAGCATGCGTCACACTGTGCGCCACGTTATTGTTTCGGTGAAATGAATTTCTACAATACTGTTAATTCTACTCTCTGCAGTGTTTAAATGCTTACATATACACAGTTACTGTCCCTCCACACACACGACTCTGTTCTGCTTCTATGCCCCAGCTTTGTTTACTTTTTCCCACCGAGGCTTCTAGACTTCTGATTGGCCAACATTTCTGCACGGTTAGGAATCTAGCGCCACCTGCTGCTTTGGCATGTTCATAGCAGCGTTTTTCTTCATTTCTGCCTTTATGTGTGGACGGATTATTTTTTAAAACGAAAACGGAAAATCTCCGTTTTCAAAAATACCCGTGTATGTGTGGACGTAGCCTCAGTCTCTGACTGGAAGCGCTAATTCGTCATTCGGCTTTTGTCAGACTAAAGTAACTGTTAAAACTGTTTGAAAAGCTCAGCTATACAACAAGGAGAGATTGAGAATTTCCTTTTAGTTCTCAGTTTATTTGATATTGACAAAAGTTAGTCAGTTTTCTCTGTTATTCTGTAAAACAAACTAAGATTTATTTTTAGAATTAATATTTTGTTTCTAAGTGGAATTGACAATTTAGTCTGTTTCGTTTGTTCTATTTTGAAACTTAAACGCTTTAGCGGCTGCCTTTTGTGTAGTTTGCAATATTTGCCTTTATTTATCTGAAAAAGTCTCATGTTCCTTA